AGCCCCCGGAGCCCCCGCAGCCCCCAGCAGTGCCGAGCCAACAGCAGAGACGTCTGGTAATTGCTCTCCTCGCTCCCCCCGTGATTCCCAGTAGCATTGCCATTAATAATCAGATTTATTAAGTGCTCAGGCTTGCCCTAAGGAACCCACAGTCAGTGCAGGGGTTGTGCTCTCAAAAACCAGTCTGATGGTATGGTCAAAAGCTTTAATCCTGTCCAGAACATCCCACCCGGGGCAGCCTGGCACTGCTGGCCTCAGGACGGGCAGCTTAGACCCATCCTTTGCAAAACAGCCCAGAGATGATGGGACAAAATGCTCATTAACCTTTCATCTCAACATACCCATTCTTTGCTCAGCAAATGGCACCGGTAAGAGGTCTGCCAGCCTTTCCAGGAGCTCTGAAGGGCTGTGAGACCTTGCAGAGATGTCCAGTGCCCTTCTCTTGGGCTGTCTGAAATCAGCACATCATCTTTTTGAAGACTCTGGGTCAAGGTGGGGACAAGGGTGATGCAGGGGAGGTCCAACGATGGCACCCTTGCTGCCATGCGGCGCATGCCCGGGAAATTAGCCCATTGGAAACAGATTAGGAAGGACATGTAACAATTAGGCAACTGAAGCAAGTCTAATGCACATTTCTTATACAGCCAATAACCCGTTCTGGTAGCGCTGGCTATGACAAATCAATATTGTACTTCAGTCATCGCAATGCCACGCGTTGATTTTAGAGGACTTAAGCTTTTTCATGTCCCCTTTTCATTGCATTTCTTCCAAACAGAAGCTGCAGCCGGGTCCCTGGCATCCAGCCCCACCTCCCCCCGGCTCAGCAGTGAGCGGACGAGCCCCCAGCCCAGCCGAACCCCCACGCAGCTGCTGGGCACCCCCTCGGAGACAGCCCACACCAGCCAAGGGGTCCCCACAACTGAGAGCCCAGCAACGCAACCCAACACGACAGCAGGAACCCCAGGGTCCACGCCGGCTCTGACCAGCTCTCCTGGCACCTCGGGGCATCCTCACGTCTCGGCTGCCACCACGTCACTGCACACAGATGGGGACAGCCCCAAGGTGAGGATGCGGCTGGGCACCGCGGGCGGTGGGACCCCGAGGAGGTTGGATTTGTTCTCTGATGCCACCACTGTGTTTTTTCCCTTCCAGCCCATCACATGCCACAATGTCAAAGAAGTGAGTGACACTGGAGCCATCTGCCTGCAGCTCAACGAGTCCAACACCTGCGTGAGTTGCAGCCCCAGGGCAGCCACACATCTCTGAGGGGGGGGGGACATGCAGGAGGAGGGGGCTGCAAGCAAAGAGCCAAGGGCAGGCTCCTGCAAACCTCTTGAGCTTGCAGCAATGGGGTCACCCACCATAGCTGGGGGGTCAGTTTGGGGTGGAGAGCTCACACCATTATCCCTAGGGCAGCATCTGAGCTGTGCCCAAGTGATGGAGGTGGGGATGGTCACAGCCATCCCAGCAGGATCCCAAAGGGATGGTCACAGCCGTCCCAGCAGGATCACAAATGGATGATCCCAGCAGGATCCCAAAGGCCTGATGACAGCAATCCTGGGGAAATGCAGCCTCCTGGTTGCATAAAAGCTCCTTTTTCATGATTAAGCTCTGGGGTCAGTTTAGCTTCTAAAGCATCTCCCACCAGGCTTAACAGGAAATTGCCTTTGTTCTTCTCCTTCCTCTTCCCTGTTGGGAAGGCGAGTGCCTTTTCTTGTCTTGCCAACTGCTCTAGGAAAGAAATCGGGGCATCTGAAGGAGCATGGGGGACTGATCAGTGTCCCCATGTGCACCAACCCCTCAGGGAAACTCAGGCTCTCTGACTGCCCTTGTGCACCAAAAATGAAACATTTATAAAAGCAGGAGAGGGTCTGGCTGAGCCACTGTTGTGGGTGGGAGGGAAGAAACCTTTCACGCTGGAGGCACAGCCTGCAAGAGAGGGCAGGCAGGGCTGGGTCTGGTGGGACAGCAGTGCCCTGGGTATAAAATGCCAACGACTGATTTTACTTCTGCGGGTCAGCCGTACTGCCACCACTTAGGGTGAGGGAGTTCTTACCTGGCTTTTCTCTGCAAATTGGCGATGAAATGGCATTTACACTCACTCCTGTTTACAGGGAGTGCACTTTAGCAAGAATTCAGATGGAAACTCCTCTGGCAGGGAGTCATTCTGATCCCAGATGCCACCTAGTGGCACCAGCACCTCCTGGGCACAGGGCTCGGGCACATGATGCATGCATTACACACCTGCCTATGCACAAATGGATGCATAGATAACACACAGCATGTCCTATAGAGTCGGATCTAATCTAACCCTCCCTCCATGTCAAAGTTGTGTTTTTCTGGGAGCTCTGACTCCACAGCAGACCTCTCCCAACCTCAACTAATCATCCAGTGGGAAAAAACCAGCTCAGGCTCAGCAGCCTGGACCTGGGAAGCAGATAAGAGCGTCTGCGAGGAGCGCAGATAGGAGGGACCGGCCGTGTCCCGCTTTCCTGCTGGCCTTTCCCAAAGCAAATGAGCAATAAGCTGGCACCCTGCGCTGCTAATTGCAAAGGGAAATTCTGACACTCCGATGAGTTCTTTCCACAGCAGAGAAAGGAAAATACACACTTGGGTCTCTTGTTCCATCTTGGCCTTTCTCACCCCAAGCCAAGCTCTATAGAAACAGCTGAAAATGATTTGTTTGTTATTCTCCCGCGGATAAGTTTCTGCGTTTTTGTATGCTAAGAGGATGTGGCAATCCCAGCACAATGCTGAGGCAATTCTAAGGCAAGGAGAGGAAGGCACTGAGCTGCCTGGCTCTGCACAATGCTGCAAGACAAGAGGGTTTCCCCCTCTTTTGTAGCCCCACGTTGGTGGGGACCGAGCAGAGGCTATGGGCAGGACATGGGATTCAGCTGGAGCTCGTCTGAGGGGGTGGGCACAGCCACAGCTCAGCTGATGTCCCCAGCTGGGAGGATGTTAAGGAAGCTGATAACGTCTTTTAGCAACTGTGGGCTCTGTCTCCAAGAGTGACTGTGGCTGAAAATATCCCCGAGGAGAAAGCCTGTCCTGTCTGATACAGAAATTGGCCGGCAGAAGGGGAAGGCTGCAGCTCCTCGCTCCTCTTCCTCTTCCACCCAAGAGTCCGTTCAGCTCTAAAATGTGAGAAAATTATATTTTTTTGCCTAGCCTTTGATCAGCAACTTAGCAAAAACATTGAAGACATTTCCTAAACAGGAAGGCTCAATGCTTCTTTGTTATTTCCCTCCTTTCCCAGCCCCTGCCTGGGACTCTGAACAATAGGGCTCCTCAGGCGGCTGGTCACTTCAAAAATCGGAGGGACTTGCCATGCAATTGAAATCCTAAATTTAGCTTTGTTTAAATGCCATTTGCAAGAGTTTCTAAAAATATCTTCATTTAATTAAATCTCATTAAGGTAAGAAACAAGATCCGAGCATCTCCATTTTCTAGGTGTTGGCACTGGGGCCCAAAGCCATGGTGCAGGGGGAGGTGAAGGTCTGACACCCATCCCAGAGCTGAGCTGAGATGGAGAATTAGTGGGTTTGGTTGGTTCAATGGCTATTTTTTTGAAAATTTTGCAGAAACACTTTTTAGAGATGAAGGGATCGGAATTATGGAGTGCGGTATGTGAAGAAGGCGCCCACCGTGTTCCCTCCCCCTGCCAGATTAAACTCGCGAAATCTGAGGTGGACCACGACTGTCTGCTCCTCATCCTCGTCGGCGAGAGAGGTCAGTGGAGCCAATTCCTGCGGCTGTCGTTGATACCGCTGGATAACGACCTCGATGCGGGTCTGTGGGGTGGGGCTGGGGGTCTCTGTGGGACACAAATCCTCAGTTACAGCCTGGGAGGAGGCTTCTCTCTGCACCTCCTGCTCTTCCTTCTGGGGTCTTGCTAAATCCATGGATCCACAGCATTGCATCCAGAGCAGCGAAGGGGCTGACGGCTCCTCCGTGTTCAGCGATGGCATCAGCTGTGGCGTGACCCCCCGTGTAATGTGCCTCTCCTCTTTAATCCTTGCAGATCCTGCTACAGACATGCTCCAGGAGTCTCACTGGGAAAAGGTAAATTCCTTGAGCAAATTCAGCTTTAAAAATAGTGGCCTGAGTGGCTGGAGAAAGGAGATTCTTAAATGGTCAGTTAAAGCTGGGGGAGACAGCCAAGAGCTGAACCTGCCTCCATCTCAGAGGCATTTGTTGAGCGCTGGCACATGAGATGGAGCCAACCACCAGCCACGCAGCGAGGCGGCGATGCACCGTAAGAGCGCTCGTACAACCGCTGGAGGCAGAAGTGCTTGAAATAGTTCCTGTAAAATTGAGTAGTATTGTCCTAAAAAAGGACTAGATCCCAACAATAACTCTTGGGGTGTAATTGGCACTCTGCTTCTTCAAAGTACCACGCTGACGGTCATTAATTCCTCCTCCCAACGCTCCCGTGAGCTTGTGGAGCTGAGCTCCGTGTCCCGATAGAAACGGCAGCAACAGAGCTGCAGCAGCAGCCCACGGAGATCTTCCAGGCGTGCAGACACACACCTTAAATCTCAGGGCTTGTCCAAGGGAGAAAATTCCCCTGTGCCACAGAAGATGCTAGGATAGAAATGAGGCCATGAGGACGTGCGAGCTCAGGAGCTTGGGCAGCAAAGCCCGGCTTTGTGTATGCAGGGCTGGACGGGGAGGTGAGGAGCAGCATTGTTCTGAGCCCGGTGCCTGCTCTGCAGATGCAGACGTTTCCTGTTTGTCCCACTCCCAGCCTTCTTTGGTGTGTTTTGTTTTTTTTTTCCAGTTTGGAATAAAATCCCTGAAACGGGGGAGCGTGAGGAACCACCAGGACTTTTCTCAGAAGACGCTGATCGCCCTGGTCACATCTGGACTGCTGCTGGCGTTCCTGGGCTTGGCTGGATATTTCCTGATGAAGCGGCGGAGCTGGAGCCCGGCGGGAGAGCGGCTGGTCAGTGCTTACCGATGGCAGAGCCGGCGGTAGAGGAGCCCCGGGGGGTCCCTGGGTGGGCGAGGAGGGGGCTGCTCTGACCCTGTGGCTCGGTGCCCCCCGCCTGGGTGCGTGTCCCCAGGATGGCTCCGCTGGCACGAGGGGCATCATCCCGGGGCTGGGTCAGCCCGGGCAAGGCGAAGGGCAGGAGCAGGGAGGCCAGACCGTGCAGGGTGAAGGGAAACCTCTCTTGCCTTGGGAAATTAACTCTGAGCTCATTGCTCCTGTGGGAAAGCCGCCCCTTTGTCAACCGTTCTTCTAGGTCTAACATTTATTTTTGCTCAGCATTAAGAACTCATCCAGCAAGACCCCTCCAGCACCACCGAAACCTTATGAATTTGTCATTAAAAGTGACACACGTTAACCTTCCATTCACTGCCTTTGAATTCTGTGTCTGTCTTGTACCAATGCTGTAATAAAGGTGATTTCTCCCCTCACCTAACAAGCGATGGTAATAAAATATGTCAAGAAAGAAAGAGAAAGAAACTTCCTATTTCCCTTTTCCCCTTTCCAGGCAGGCTGACTGTTGAGTCCTCTCCCCTACCCGTGACATTTGGGGACGTGAGCCCTCTGTAAAGCCAGGACGGGCCATGCTTTTCCCCCACATGAACAGCAGTGTCCTGGGAAGCCATCAGGTTATTTTACTGCCAGAAAGGATGCTCTGGAAGGGTGCAGATGGGAAGCCAAGTGCATGTGTCAGAGGCAGGGACACGGCAGCTCAGGCTGGCGAGCCCGCTGCCTGCAGGTACCATCTCCTGGATGCTGGCAGCAGGCGAAAACCAGTGTCACCATGGGGCTGGGAGCTGCCCATGTGGCAGCGTCAATCCAGTTCCTAGGTGAGCTGCATCCAGCACACCCATCCCATCAGCAAAGGCCTGAGCGAAACGCAGGGCGAGCGGGATGCTCGGCAGCCTGCCGTGTGCTGGATGCTGTGGGCAAACACAGAGCGGGGCTATCTGCTGCCAGCTGGCAATTGCCACCTCAGCCCGGACCACCAGCTCCCCCCATTGTTGTGGTGGGGCACGAAGTCAGCTCTGCTGCTGCTCTGGGTCCTCCAAAGGCATCTGATCCTCAGAGCAACAGCAAAACAAGCCCAGCAGCGTGTCTTTGTGTTTGCTGGGGTGCAGCACCTCGCTGTGAGCTGTGTACCTATTCACAGGCTGAAACAAAGAAGGATGGGGAAAGAGAAAGAGGCAGTTTCCATCGCTTGCACCCAGTGATGCTTCTCACTTGGCCAAAGTGGAAAGCAGAGGTGGTCGGTCACAGCGTAGCTTTGCAAACCCCAGGCAGGGTCAGCTCCCAAACCTGGTTATGCAAAAAACAACAAAACCTCACAGCTTCTCTTTTCAGGTCCAGGA